TCCTCGACGAATCTTGCAGAAACACATCTGTCTGATGCAAGGATTTCGGTCACTTTTTCACATTTTCTTCAGTGCGACTTGTTCTCGTCTTTGATGCACGTGGAGGGTCTTCAATGTCCTCCCTGCCATCACGAAATACAGCATACCATCGAAAAATGTTCGAGGGACTCAAATAGTCACTATCGTACACGCTTTTCATCATTTCGTACTCTTCGCCGGCTGTTTTGCCCAACTTCAAACAAAATTTGATGTTGGCTCTCTGTTCACCCACCATTTTCCGACGAGCGTCAGGACAGCACTATTGCATTCAAGGTCAGAACACATGATTATAGACAGCCACAGCTGAAACTTCAAGAATCTTAACGCCACAACTCGCCAACAGATGGCATTGCAGGACAAAAGAAAAGAGTCCTGACGGATCCTGGACACACCGTGTATGTTGGAGCCAGTATTGATGAGTCATAGCATTTGTACCGACAGTTGCAGCTAAAGCGTAGACAATTCCATCTGTGCCCTTTATTCATGTACATGTCTTGCAGCTCGCAGTTAATTGGAAATTGAAAATCTCGGGATCCATGTATACAGTGGTTCCTAAAACTTGCTATCTAACGTGAATCAATAGATTCGTTCATAAATTCCCAGGCTAGTGAGTACCGCTCAGGTCCTGTGCAGCTTACACGCGAAAGGCGTATCTGCTTGGCATTTCACCGGGATTATCCCCCATATCTCTCGCATCTCAGGCCCGTTGGACCACACCGTGATAACCACTGGCAGTGCAGTGTGACGTCATTACGAAGTTGCAAGTTGTGTGCTGGAGATTCGCCAGTTCCCTCGGGATGACGTACGGAAACCCCATCCCGGTTCTTACGCAGTCATTAACCCGCTGAGACTGCGAGAGACATCTGTCGGCTGCTTCCAGCACTATATTTAGTTCAACATAACGTGTATAGATGCCACACTAATACAGATTATGTGCTGCAATGTATGTAGTATATGATTTTTTTTTGTTGTTGAATGCCTGTGTATCGACTGCTAATGATTATGCAGAATGAAAGGGGCTTTCGTTGGATTTACGGTTCTGACACCGGCGTCTAGGAACAGTACTGTGCTCTGAGATGTGACGCTGTGTAGTCCAGTAGAATTTCACCGTAGTTTCGGAGGAACGTGCTGCTTCCGTCTTCAGGGTTGAACACCAAGCCAAGCAAGGGACCAACAAGATGCAGGCGGCAAGCATCACCCAGCTCCTTGCTTCCTGCCTGCTTAGCATATCTTCTACCCTGAAAATGGAATCAGTACGTTCCTCCGAAACTTCGGTGTGTGCGATGTAACTGAGGCACTGACTGCCGTGACAGGCTTCTTTCGTGGTTTTTCTCATGACCTCAAGGCAGATTGCTTGTGTGACGTCATGACCTCTTCCCTTTCACAATATTTCTAATTCGTTATTCACCGAGCGGGTAACGCTGTGGGAGGTGCTCGGTTCAGTACTTTGCCACGGACACTGGCTCTGTTGACAGACTTTTTCTTGGTTTTCCTAAGTCCCTACGCCCAAATTCCGATATCAAACCCGAGGCCAGAATCGCTTTCTTCTGAATCCTTTCGTTTCTCTTGCCTCAAGTCGACCTTGTATAGCCTCGGTACTGATCAGCATCGTTAAATAAGCTGCAGACACACGACAATATACAGGATGGGGCATAGGCTTGTAGACTAGGTCGTATCGAACGTTCCAGCAAGCCATGCAGCTGCAATCAAGGGTAACACGGGTGAAACCTATTCCTGTAACAGGCCGTGGAGGCCCATATTCTAGGTTAATGGCTTTAGGCAGTCAAAGTCAAAGTCAAAGTCAAAGTGTTTAGACGGCTCCCACGTCTCTCGTTGGACGGTCTGCTGGAGGTGACGCTGTTATCTGAGCCGAACGCTAACCAATAGGAAGCGAGTACGTGGTCAGCGGTAAGAGGTGGTGAAAAATGTTCTGGCGACCGGGTGGTCCTGAGATGAGGCGGAGAAAACATGTCAGCGACCTCGCGTTTACGACCGGAGGTTGACTAATTGTGTTAGTGATTAATATTAATCACTAAGACAATTAGCCAATAATAATAGTTGTAACCATAGAATTATTGGGAAGAGAGAAGCCGTATCGATATTAAGGTGGGACTACGGTTACTTTTGGGGGGTGGGGGACAGAACCCCCGGCAGGACGTGATCTGCTCAAGGGCCGACTCTCATGGCCCCGGAAACCGCTGTCACGCGAAGTGGCCGCGTTGCATAAGGGAGGCTTTATCATGGCGATATGTGTGAACCCCTCCAGGCCGTGTTGCAACCGAGACGATTTATGTGGCTGTCTGGAAACACTTCAGGGTGAGAAAAGAAGTCCTTACGAGTGCCGTAACTGAGGAGACGACCCAGGTTCGATCGCAGGTCAGGTTATATAGCTTTTGTAAGGAAGGATTTCTCTGATTACTGTACTTATGTTTCCCCTGCCAATTCTTATTCTGCGTACAGCTCCACTCTCATCTTGTGCCCGCGGCTGGTACAGTAGACCCAATAGCGGCCGGCGTACCCCCCACCCTCCCTGGAAAAACGAGGCTAAGTTGTAGTCGTTACTCCTCTTCTTAGGAAACGTTACAGCTTTACGACAGGACGAGTTGTGTGAGGCTGCACGTGTGACTTGTGTATAAGCAATCGAGTTCAAATCTCATTTTCGTCCCTAAACTGCAGACGCCTGAAATCCGAGCACTTTTTTTTTTTGATGGGCTCTTTATTTGTCGGGGGCACGCGGTAGCGTAGTTGGTTAAGGCACTTTCCTACAAGCCGGAAGGTCGTGGGTTTCAGTCCCGATGAGGTGGATTTTTTTTTTCCAATTGACCTAATCCTTCCAGTCGCACTATGGCCCTGGGGTCGACTCAGCCTCTAACAGAAATGAGTACCAGGAATCTTCCTAGGGGTAAAGGACGGGCAGTGCGTAAGGCCGACGACCTCACCGCCATCTATGAGCCGATTGTCTAGAGCAGTGATGGGCAAACTTTTTTAGGAGGGGGCCAAAGGAAAAAGAAAAAACTTAGGTGGGCCAATATAATTTATTAAAAACAATAATGGTAGATTTTACAAAATTCTTGTAATACTAAGCCCTATTAATGATTGAAAGATTATGAAGGAGAATGTGATGAATGAAACTGTGACTGCATTTCCAAAATTTTCTCATAATCTGGTTCGAACTGGGATGCACTGATTCTCAGAAGTGAAGTTAAATGCTCATCTGTCAGTCTGTTTCTAATACAACTCTTTCGAAGTTTCATTGTAGAAAACACCTGTTCACATATATAGGATGAAGCAAACATAGCAGTGACTTTCTGGGCATGAGATATCAGATTTGGGAAACTGGATTTCGACAAGGACTTGTAGAACTCTAATTTTGGGACATTGAGAAACAACTGTTTGAGTTGAGTGTTACATTGCAACTCAATTAATTCAAGTTGCAAGTCCGGTTTCACTGTTTCACAGTCTACATTAAAAGGCATACTGAAAACATCCAAGTCTTTTTCAATGGCACTGAAGTCTTGAAATCTTCGTTCAAATTCACCACGGAGTCTTCTCAGGCTATCCTCGTAGCTCCTAAGCTTGTCCTTCATCACTGGGGCTATTGAATTTAACCTCGGGAAGTGAGACAAGTCATTCTTAGCTAGCTGATCTGCAAACAGAACAAGTTGTAGTTTAAAACTTCTGATATGGCCCCAGATATCATCAATAAATTGATTTTTTCCTTGCATCTTGACATTCAACTTGTTCAGGTGGCAGAGAAGATCTGTGAATTATTAATTTTCCTTAATTCTTCTTCTTTTCATTCGTCAGATTAGGAATCATTTCGCGGGCCGGATAGAACCTATCAGGGGGCCGCGTCTGGCCCGCGGGCCGTAGTTTTCCCACCACTGGTCTCGAGAATGTGGGAACCTCGATGTCTCACAACCCTATGGGCCTCCAGGGCTTGGTACAGGGATAGCTTCACTTTAACTTTTTTTTATACCCGACAGGTACAATGTTAGTATTACACTAAACGTGATTACATTTGTACAGTATACAGCTTGGGGGTGTCGTCGTGGGTTATACAGGCAGTGTACTGTTAATTTCCTTATTCCTTTGTAGTCCTACAGATTATCATGCAGTAAGGTACTTACCTTAAGGTAAAGTTGCAGTTAAGCACCGCGCCACGAACACGTGGTGGAAGTGGAGGTAGAGCTCTACGATTCTTGACCTCAGCACTATATAGTGTGTGGTCAGCTTCACATCCCTGCTGCTTTTACCCCTGGGTAAAGAGTCCCTGTTAGCCATCGAGGTAGATCTTTAACACCGTCTCCCACGAACAGTACTCACAAATAATCATTTTGCGAACCGCCTGCTTTGTATAGTGCACCACACTACACATATCAACACGAACATATCAGTACTCACAGGATATACACGATACACTTCTTGCTCGTTCATGACCTACTACATAAAGTACTTTGAAGCAGCATGTTAGCGCCTGCTCACGCTGGTTCCTCGCTCGCGGATTTTCTTCTTATTTCTTCTACCCTGAAGATGGAGGCGATACGTTCTTCCGAAACGCCGGTTAACACAACATCTACACGGCGCCACATCTCAGAAGACTGCTTTCTTCAGAGCAGAGCAGAACAGAAGCTTACAGCCGACAATCAGCCGGCACGGTCTCTCTTGGCATCGGGCCCCGCTGGGACCCATGGCCATATTTTTGTTTTGAGTGTAACTTTTTTTCCTCTCTCTCTTAGTTGGACCTCAACGATAAAAGGAGTGGTTGGTAATTTTTTTTAATTTTAATTTGTGTTCATTTTCTGCACCTTTTTGGAGAAAATGTGATATATACATCTTTTTGCTTTCTTCATCCTTACGTCAGTTGTTTATATATAGGCCCATGTGTGTGTGGATATGTGTGACATCTGTTGAGAAGATGATGAACTGTGTATATAATGTTCACGTTTTCGTTGTTGCAGACACGATTTCCGACCCTATGAGCTGTGACACCCTGCCTGCAGAAGACACGGCCTCTCTCCACGACGCGCAGTCTGACACCCAGCAGCCATCACAGAAACAAGCGCAGCCCTCAGAGGGGCCCCAGCAGGCGCAACGCCCCCTCAGGCTCGACATCCTGCCGCCCCCGCCCAACACAAACCCCATGAGAAGATCGCCCTTGGTGCGTTGGCTCACACTCGACTCATTTCGTTTCATCTTTCTGTTAGACGTGTTTACTACCATTTAGTGTCACGAGTTAGTGACCAGAGACGGTATTTGGGTGGGTGACTGGCTTTATTGGACTCTTGAAACTAGTAACTGCTGTCGCCAATTCATACACTGTACACAGTTAGCTACAGAACGCACTAAGTCTAGTCAGTCTGCTGTATCTTCGCCAGTCGTTGCTTGGTAACGGCCGTCAATACCGTATATTCCTCAGCTACTGGGTTAATGTCGTTATTTACTGGCAACTCTCCCACAACTAACCCATGTCTCTTCACCTTCTCAACTCCTCACAGCTCAGTCAGAGTCCCAGGTGGGACAGGTCAAAGTCATAGTCACATTTGCCTTACGACTGGTGGTTTACCGCCAATCAGTTCATGTTGGCGCCAAGCCCCTTGAAGATCACGACTACAGATTTATTTTTTTTCAACTGAAACCTTGCGGTTATAGCCCTTGTGTAACATCCTCTCTGACGAGAAGATGGGTTTGCCGCTTGTGTATAGGCTTCGCCTTTGTCAAGTGTACGTATCGCACATACAGCATGTTACAGAAAATTGTTCCTTGTGCGCTATATACAAGTCATTTGTTAGTCCAGGCATTACAGAGCCGATCATGCCTATATTACGTATCTTATGCTACAACGGCAGCTTAATCACTTGAATGGTCGTAAGCTTGACCGCAGCCAAGTTTAAGTCTCATATATTTTCCGTGTCTGGCTTCGCGTTGTCCTATGCTGCGAACATGTTTATTCTCATGATTCCAATTCCTTTCCCGCTCTATAGCCTCACGGCGGACCCCTCAGAGAACACCGCATCCAACAGCTCCTCTATCGTTGCGCGTGTAACTTGCTGCGATCGCGTGATTGTTATTGACCCTTGTGTAGCAAGGAATGCTCGCTTAATAGCGCCATTGCGTGTTTACCTCACCGTAATCTAGCAATGGATGTTCCTTCTCGCTCCAGAATTCTGGCTTTGAGCCCACATGTCACGTGATAGAGGATTATAGATGGGATTTGGATTAGTAGTCGGATTTATTGAATGCTTAGACAACTCTGGACCATGCTTTACAAGCCACTGTCACACAGAGACTAGTGTTCTCAGTCACTGTCTTCACTGCATTGCTTGGTAGCGTCTTCCAATGGTGGACTTTCCCCTTACTATGGGTTCCCTCACTGTCCCCGGCCTCAGCTACCAGTTTTTAATAATTGCAGCTCACAACTGACTCATCAACAACTCAGAGTCAGACTTATGTTATAACTGACAGTCAGCTGTCCAGTCTGTCAGTCTCTCTTAGTGCCACTCCCCATCTTGGGCCCAAGACCGCATTTTTATTACTGTCAGGTGGTTGTGGGTTTGTTGATATGGGGCGCCCTCTCTAACTTTCAGCTGGCCCTCATTTCGTATGGCCTCAGCACGGAACACACAAAAACACCGCTTGTGACAGCTACTGGGTCATCGCCTAGCAACGCTCATGTTTACAGAGATGTTCCATAGCAAGGCTCTTTCTGCTTGGTTCACAATTGTGGCTTTCAGCAGACATGCCACAGTAGGATACCAGTTGTTTATATGTTAGGGCCAGGCTGATTGCTGGAGAAGAATTGGGTCTGACTTATGTTCAGGAGATGTTTTGCATGGGACACTGGCTGTCCTGACTAACGGTTTTCATGGCTTTTCTCAGTCTCTCCACTGAAATGTTGAACAGTGCCCCAGTTAGTACACAGCCACTTCCTTCCCTATCCATTCTAATTCATCCATCCATTATCCTGTTGCTCAGTCCTGTGGTATTAATACTGACCCTCTCATGAAATAAGCCACAAAAATATTCATAGTTTTGGTGTATAGATTCACGAATTCAGGATTCACATTTAACTGATATGGACCAAAGTTGTGTTCATGCAGAAATTGTTGGTAAATTTCCTCAAGAATTCAATAGATGACACATCCTTGAAAAATTAATTCACCGCATGTAAAGAATGCAGAGAAATTAAATATTGGATATTCAAGCTTCTTCTGTCCACTGATTCAGAGCTGCTCTTGTCGATGTTCAAAATGGAAAATATTGTTTCATTTCTGTCATAGTTATAATATTTATCCTTATTCAGACTGAATATAACCTAACTCATAACATAAAAACATTGTATACATAGACTCAGAGTGCTTTTAGGATGGTGTTCTGCACCAAATATGTAATTTTGTTAGTATGGTTGTATCTTGCACAATAGGCTCATCCTGGTCTGAACCTTCAGAATATATAGAATCATATAAATTAATGTAGGGCACTCGCACGGAAGATATGTAACTGTTATCATAATTTTTGTTTCAAAGATAGTTATGCTTTTCACTTTCTGCCAGTGGACTGCTTGACATGAACCTAAATAAATCATAGACCATATAAACGGAACTTCTGAAGTAAATTGTCCCTGTGCTTAACTAATTAAGCACTACGCCATGAAGGCGTATGTGCGAGTGGATGTATAGATCAACATTTTCTTGGAGGTGAATGCTCAGCTTCACTCCTCGGCTGCTTTACTGGTAGGAGGTTGGGTGGACCCCAGAGCCAGTCTGGACGACATGCAGAAGAGAAAATTCTTGACTGACCCCTCGGTCATCCAGCCCATAGCCAGTCACTGTACTGACTACACTGTCCTGGTTCAAAATGGAATGTCTGTGCTTTCCTAATGCTATTGGCAAATGTGCCTTACATTATACTTCTGATTGGCAACTGTTAATCGGTCTGGACTTGGCAGTGTAACCGTGTGCTTCTGCTTACAGAGCGGTGGTGAGACGTATAGCTCACCACTGAGTGACCCACTCAGAGTCAGTGCGGAACCACTTCTAGCAGCAGGGACGCCACTGAGCACACACCACGAACTTCAACTGTTACGGGAGCAGCTGGAGCAGCAGGCGCAGCAGACACAGGCCGCTGTGGCGCAAGTTCACCTGCTGCGTGACCAACTGGCGGCGGAGACGGCAGCCAGGCTCGAGGCACAGGTAAGCCTGAGGCACTAATTGTGCATTCTCTGGAAACGTAGCCTCAAGATGCAGAAGGTGGCTGCCACTGTGTCGGATAAGCAGCCTTGGACAGCTAACAAGGGGTGGTCCTCAAGCTTGACAGTTGGCCATAGAATAATGTGGGGAGTAACTGCGAATGTGTTGAATATGCAGCCCTGGACAGCTAACAAGGGGTGGTCCTCAAACTTGACAGCTGGCCATAGAATAATGTGGGGGGTTGTTAACTGCAAATTTATGCAGCCCTGGACAGCTAACAAGGGGTGGACCTCAAGCTTGATAGTTGGCCATAGAATAATGTAGCCTTGAGATGTGGAGGGTAATTGTGAATGTGTTGAATAAGCAGCCCCGGACAGCTAATTGGGGGTGGTCCTCAAATTAGTATGCTGCAAACTGTCACACACTGCATCAGACTAAGGCAGGTTTTGTGGTGTAACCTAGAGCATAGGATCACCAGAGGCAATGCAGCCAATTGGTTTCCACATTTCTTGCTCTGGAGGTAAAGGTTCATGTCCGTTGTAGTCCATGTGGGGTTTGTTATGTATGGTGTACACTAGGGGTGATGATGCAGTACTGCAGGGGTGGCTAAAGTTACTGAAAATCAGAGCTGGAGTCTGGGGTGCCGCAAGCAGACACAGGTTGGATGGCGCAGATGTTGAGGTACAGGCTTTCTCTGCAGTGGATTCTTACCTACATGATCGACATCTAAAAAAGAGGAGTGATTATTTTGTTTCCATGAACCACACTGTTGCTTCAGAAGAGTCGCACTAGCTTAAGCCACAGTTCATTGTATGTTCTATCGACTGAGTAGAGTTATACAGTTTTCACTCTACAGCATTTTTCAGCCATTCAGGCCAACATCAGGTAAGTTATATTACATAAACACCCTACTGTCCTCATACTGTTCCCCTACATTGGCCAGTGTTTACAGTTTTCTTAGGGCGAAGGTTGTATGTGTCATGTATAGTGTTAATGTCAGATGTAATTCATATATGCAGGTTTAAATTAATTTTAATTAAGTTACAAAATAATAAAATGAGTAGCTAACTATTATTGTTATCAATTGGAATCCTCCCATATTTGTAACTTTTCATCGTCCCATCACTCACATGGGGTCTGCATTTCATATTATCATATAATTTTGTATGTCAGCACAATTTTTTTATTATTTTATTTATTTATGTTAGTGGCCACAGTTTGGCCACGTCTGAACTATACACATTTCTACTTTAGTGGCTTTTAAGAATGACTGTTGAAATATAACTGTATGCAGGCACGGACACATCAGTTGCTGGTGCATAATAAGGAACTGCTCGACCACATCGCGGCACTAGTAGCTCACCTGCAGGAGCTTGAGAGGCTCCAGCAGCGCCCTCAGCAGGTCAGCAACAACCAGAGTCAGGGTCAGCAGCAGCAAGTGACCATGATACCTCAGGTAGGCAGGCAGAGAGGCTCCAGTCACCGGCATGCCTCCAGGGACACAGTCATCTCTGTAGCTTTGCACGCTTACCCTCTTGCATGATGCTTCTCTCTCTCTTTGTGTAATGGTTGTATATATATATTACCCTCTTTGGATCTCATGTAAGGGGGTTGTAACAGATAACTAACTCTGTAACGGGCAAGGTTGGTATGTAATACTCGTATGGTTTACGTCTTGCTGTATTTTACTTCTAGATAACATCTCATCCTTATCTTTAGTTCATAAATTATTTATTATTTTTAAAATTAGCCACAGGACACATTATATGATTTTGGGAAAAAATGTGTACTATCAGAAAGACAAGATTACAAAAGAACGCATTGTACACTTAACATATACATTCACCAAAAAGATTTGTAAATGAAATGATTAAGACTGTGATTAATTATTCCCTTATTGTGCAGCTGTTCACTGTCAGGTGAGACTTGCTCAGGTTCATGAGAAGTTAAGGCTTTGGTGTTCGCTGATATTACATGCACTAAATGAGAACTAAATATATATATATTGTTTGATTTATTCTTCTGAGTCAGAATGTGATAGAAGAATTAAAACATTAAGAGAAATCCACAGAAATACTGGGGTTTTGGACTTTCTCCATCCACCATCATCAGAACCCTTTGGAATCTGCTATTAAGAAAAATTTCTGCTTAATGCAGTCTAAACTGAGTACACTTTCTTGTGGATTTTTTGTCCTGTTTTTTCTCTCTCTTGCCTGGCATTGTGTTTTGGAGGCCATCGTTGGTTGCTGAATATGCAGGATTGTACTCAGCATCATTTTGTTTAATTCTCTTGAAAACTGTAAGATTTATGCAGAGCATACATTGGACATAAAATGAGTGTTTCATTTATGTCCACAAGTGACACTCTCTGAAGTGGTGGGAATAACTCCTTCATCTTCCCAGGGCCGATCATGTGAAGAAATCTTCATTGCATATATTCATGATGAAACCCTCAAGCATTAAGAGGAACTGATGTTAGTGGCATTGATGGCTATACGAAGCTATCAATGGACTCTGTTTGCAAGTGTTTTACAATATTTTGTTATGTATACTGAATGTGTTATTTTTATGAATCACCAATATCTCCATTAAGAATTGTACTCTTATGATGAGAAGAGTAGATCTCTGAAGTTTGGAAATGTGATATTGTCTCTACTTGTACCCAAAACAGAAGATTAAGAAGATGATGTCTTGTCATAGCTTTTATACTGTGATTTTCAGTGATGAAGCCATTTTTCATGTATTCATGAGTGAATTACAGCAAATTCAGTGTGCTTTGTATGTAAAATGGCAACTTAGTGATGCTGACAGTATCAAGACGTATAACATTAATGACGGATGATTAGGGGCTGTGAGGCAGTTTGAGTGAGAATTGGCAAGGGAAGCCAAAGTACATGGAGGAAACCTGTCTCAGTGACACTTTACCCAACTACACATGATATGACCTGGGATTGAAATGAGCCCTCCATACTAGAAAGCCACCAACCAACTGCCTGAGCTGTGGCATAACCTTCTGGGGTGTTGAATGGCAAGAAACAACATCTATAGTTCAAAAGATTGGGTGATACCATAAACAAGTTCTGTGAAGTGTTATGAAGACAGAATTGTTTTCTTTCTGTACTCTCTTTGCCTTATAGTATTTCGAGAGAGACCCTTTTGTTAAAAAACTGGATGTGTTGATACTTACTTGCTGAGTTGTGGCAGATACCCTTTATTTTCCATTACTTGCCTTCCTTCATTTGTTTACTTTTAACCCTTGTAAATCGTTCTCTGCATCTTCCATCCATCTCATTTTGTGTCTTCCAACTTCTCTTCCACCTCCTAGCATACTTTAACGTTTCTATCCTGAATGAACTTAGCCAGTCTCTATGCCATGATTAATCACAATCTATCCTTAGTCATTTCTCTATCCTGGAGGCATCCATCTTTATGTTCTTAACATATTGTCATGAATTAGGGGTTTGACTGTCGACGGGATCTGGATTGGTGACTTCCGTCCAATTTCCTCAAGATCCACGTTAATATTACCCACCCACCTTTCAGAACTTCTATTTTTTTGACCAAATCTGTGTGAATTTCTCTTCTCCCCATGCTTACTACAAGTCTCACCCACTTATAGTCCTTGACTTGATCATTCTGCCATTTGGTGAGGAGTAAAAGTTATGAAGCTCCACATTATGATTCTCTACAGATTCATGCTACTTCATCCCTCCAAATATTCCCCTCAGCACCCTGTTTTCAGACACCCTCAGTCTGTATTCTACCCTTATAATTATAGATTTACATATTTTAGTCTTTATGTAGAAATTGTGGAAGGGATGAGAGAATGTTCTGCACTGAATGGTACAAATGTTCCCTAAAGTTAATCTGCTCTTAAGTTCTTCATGAATGCAATTTTCAGCTGTCGCTTTCAAATATTTGAATTTTGTTGCATTTCCAAAGGATTTATTCACTGTCTTCAGATTATGGTTTTGTCCTGCAGTATGTTCGAGAGATATCAGCATATACTTCATTTACTGTTTAATAAGTAAGATTTTCCTTGAACGAATTGAATGACAACTACAAATCCTCAGAATAGCCAACCCCTGGACCCTGTTAGGACCTACCCTTCCACAAATTTGAAGCAGAAGGACTGACCACTCAACTGGGGAATTTGGTGCAAGTTTATTGAGATATGTCGTGAATCAAAATTTACTGATCTGTATAAACTCATTTAGCTGATGCTCCAACCACTCTGAATGCTGTATACTTGTATACTTTTCTAATGGCTTTTCTGAACTGAACAGGTTATATATCGCGGGGTATTATTAGGAGCCAATGAAGAAGGATGATTCTCATGTTGTTACGTGCAGGCAGAGGTGGCACTTCTCAAAACTTTTTATGGCAAATGCGCCAAAGAATGGCTTGAAAGAGCACACAAATCAGTGAATATTGGAGAACTATTTAGGTGCATTTTGTAGCATGCAGTTTTCGTTTTTGTTATCATTTTTGTTTTCTTTGCTTAATTTTTTCTGTATCAGTTCATTTATCAGTTAAGTTTTAACTGTTTACTTGTAGTTAATGGGCAGTTAAACCCTTTGAAGCCTCAAGTTCATGAATATCATATACAGGGTGTCCCAGGAGGAATGGACCAAACTTCGGGAGGGTGTTCCTTATGTTAAAGTATGCCGATATAACTCAAAACACCTATGTCCAAAGTTGAACGGTTACGGAGATAATGGCCCAAGAAAAGTGTGGTCTTCTAGCGGGTCCACAGATTATACCTATCAGCTGAGAGGCCTTATCTCTGTTTGTCCTTGAGTGCCGTGATTCACCCTAGCCGTGCTTATGTAGTTGGCTTTATCAGAACGCGCAGTCATCAGCACGTTATGTCAGAGCTTGCCATTCATGTCTCATGTATAGTGCTTGGAAACCCTAAGGACAATTATGACATGGCGAGTGAGTATTTTGTACTTCAATTTTATGGCTTCATGTCACTCACAAGTTAGTTTGATGTTACGTACATTATTAACATTACAGAATCCACATATTCCTGCCAGTTTTAATATGTATTTTGTAATCAACAAGTGTGCAATGCCGGTCAAAGTTTGACACTTCTCTGGCCATTATCTCCGTAACTGTTCAACTTTGGACATAGGTGTTTTGGGTTATATCGGCATACTTTAACATAAGGAACACCCTCCTGAAGTTTGGTTCATTCCTCCTGGGACACCCTGTATACACATTCAGTCCTTACCTCACAGGGAACACATTACATCTCTGCTGCAAAGCCCGATCAGTTAATGCCTTTTATAGAAACAATCGCTGTTTATTGTGAGATCCATGTGGAACACACAAATACACTGTGTGGGCAGAATGCAGAGACTATATATATAAGAATTCAGTTCGTACCTCATATAAACACATTACGTCTCCGCTACAGAGCCCAACCGGTTAATGCTGTTTGGGGAAACAGTCTCTGTTTATTTTGAGTACCATATGGAACACAGATACACCTTGTGGGCATACTGCAGAGTTTTTAAATGGTAGAGCAAATAGTACAAATAATTAGCACTGTGCTTCTTTTTGCTTATTTTGGACTTCGTCCATCATCAAGTATGGATTGAGTGATTGAGACTAGCTCTTTCTAACAAACCCAACTGAGTAGGTTTATCCTTCCCTGCCCACCTGAAGACAGAGACAGAGCCAGTCTCCGAAACGTCGTGGTCTTTTGTCTTTTACATACTAGACGATGGACGAAGTCCAAAAGAAGTACAGTATACACCACCGTCAGAATCTTTTCAAGTCTAACCAATTAGCACCTTGTTTTATATAATTTCAAAGGTGTTACATAATGTGAAATTGTGCTACGAAAACGTCAAGAAGTTACTTTCTGCCTGATGCATTCGCATGCTGTGTTGACATTGCCAATGGAGTGTTGCTGGTAGCCTCATTATGAATACATTATGTAGCAGTAGCTAGTAATGTTCTCTTTCTCTCTATTTCATATGTGACTCTTTCGAGTAGATGGAGCCCTGTGTGATTGCATGGTACAGAAAGATTTCTGGTACTGTATTATCCAAGTACTTAAAGAGGTCGTGGGTTTGATCTTGATGATGGCAGTAGAACCAACTCCTGCAATGTTGTTTAGATCATATGTACCCCCAGGCAATGGACAGTGTCCAGCACAATACTGGAATAATGAATTAGCCATTGTTGCAGACCTTTAGGGAATTAAGCTGTTTATTAATTTTATTTACGGTTCATTTAATGGCAGTGCTGTAGATTTGACAGTTACACAGCAGTTTCTGACCATGCTGACTCAGGTTGTAAGCTGACATCACACGTGATTCATGATGGACAGAGTGACACTGGACCTGGTCTTTCTTAAACTTCCACCTAATCATCATTCTACCATTTTTTTAATGCTAGTGGGGTGGGACTAAGTCCCTTGTACTGCGGCCACTTTTGGCCTATTGTACCAGCCCCTAATGATAGGTGAGGGTGATTGTGGAGCAATTGGTGGATTGAAGATTGGCAGGGGAAACCTAAGTACTCGGAGAAAACCTGCCCCAGAGCTACTTTGTCCACCACAAATCCCACTTTACCAGACCCGGGATCAAAACTGGGCCGCCACGGTAGGAAGCCAGCGACTAACCGCTTGAGCTATGGAGCGGTCATCCTACCATTGCTCTCTACTTGTTTATCACTCATGTGCACATGTACACTTATTCATCCACCCACCCACGCACCCTATGTGTGCAACATCCCTGACAGGCAGTGCATTATCACATCCTTGGTCGGGGGATTTCACCTCTGGCCCAACACTTGGCTGGTTGCAGAGTAGGAAAGTCTTTGTGATGAGTCTCTAAAAATGAAGTAATTATGGCTTATTTAATGACTATATCAGTAAATGAGACTTATAGCCTCAAATGATAGTATGACTCATGGAATGTGAATTGTAAAGGATCTGTAAGGAAACAGTCATAGCCTAATTCGAGGTACTCTCCCAGCATTTGAATGGAGAGACTAAGGAAGACCATGAAGAAACTTGGTCAGGGTAGCCAGTTTCTGGGCTGACATTTGAACATGGAACCTCTCAGATACCAAGCAGTAAGCACTCAGCTATGGCGTCTGGTTCATAGTTTGTTGTTGCATACAGTCATGAGGATACTGGGTTCAGTTGTGAAAGTTGTGTCGGTTCTGTTGTTACATTTCTGTATTAAAAAAAGCAATGAGATTCTTTATAGTCCGATTCTTTTCAAGTAATTGACGTCATTCAGTTTTCTACATGTCAGACATACACAAGATACAAATATTAACATGCGTATTCTGTAACTTTCCAGGAAGTTTGTAAAGTTTTTGTTAACAGTGTGTCATTTTGTTTAAAGCTGTTACATTGGACTTAGATCATTGTCTGAATTTGTTATAGCCACTGCATTTCTTAGCTTGGTTTTGTTTCCATCTTCAGGTGAACAAGGCATGAAAGAAGACCTACTCTTTTGGGATTCTGAACAGAGCTACTGTTAACCAGCTGCAATAGTTTTAACCCTACAGGTGCCAAGAGTTGAAAATTTTAACCATTACCAAAATTGCTCTATCTGACATGATGTCACATCTGTTGACAGTTTATGTGAATCCTCAGAATTTCTGGGTTTTTTCCATTGTCCAGTATTGTAAAAACTATAAAAGACAATGTTTTGGAAACTGGATCTGTTTCCATTCTCAGGTGAGGAGGGTTCACTCACCCTGTTGGGTCACTTAAAAAGAGCTAACCTCAACAGACTAATTAGGTGTCTCCCCTCCACCTGAGGATGGAAACAGATTCAGTTACTGAAACACTGTGTTTTATAGTTTGTAGACTACCAGACAATAGACAAAGTCTGTAAGCCCAGTAATTCTGAATGTTTTACACCATTGTCAGAACCCTTCAAAATCTAATTTATGTGAACTACATTTTGAAGAAATATATGGAGTTTTGTGCCCCCTACATTTACATAAGACTGACAGACTTACTGCCATCTGTGGGTCGATGGTCTAGAGAAAATGTGGGAGCCTTGACATCTCACAACCCTATGGGCCCTCACAGCCTGTTGCAGGCTTAGTTCTTAGAGACTTCATATATATATAATTTGTCCTTGAATTTTACAGTGCTTTTACTTGGCGCTGTAGGAGTTAAGATGGTGATCTTAGGGTTTACAGACTTAGATGATGAGCGAAGTTTAAAGTAACAGCTTTACGCAATTGTTACTTTGTATTCAGCATTTGTGATATGAAGCTAAGATATAATTTTGGTTTCAGTCGGCTTGCAGTGCATTTTTATTTTTGCAGGTCTTTGCAAAGGAAAATTTGTTGGATTTAGGTTCCCCATATAATTATTGAATCAAGGAAAGTAGAATTCTGTTTTCAGTCATTAGAGACTAGTGAATCTCGACTCACATTCCAGCGCTCTGCTGTCAGCAAGTGTGTGCCTGATGGGGCCCTCTGGACTGTCTTTAGTCGGGTTCATTTTGTATAAGGTTTGCAACTTTTCATGACGTTGGGTGTTCTGATTGCTGGTTTATGGGTTGTGACAGTGTGTAGTCTTGTATGTGAAGACCAATGTTTCAGATGAACATATTGCCTCAATCTTCAGGGTCAAAGTGCAGTACATGAAATGTTCTACTCTCACATTATAGTGATGTTGGCTATGATTATGGGCCGAAGGAATAATCAATGTTATAAAAACATGCCTCCATAGCTCACAATATCATACTTCCTCCATATTGATAATTTGTAATTATAAAAAATGAAGAGTATGATTTTCTGAGTTGTAATTTAGAGAGACCCTCACGTTTCGTATTAAAATACTACCTCCATCTTCAGGGTTGAAGAGTAAGCCAAACATGAAGCCAGTATAAGCAGACAACAAGCTGAGTAAATGTTTTATACAAAAACTGTAGCTATTTTTACAGTATATCTCAATACACGATTTTTCATACTGTCCTCTGTCACTGTGTTATGGGGAGTCCAAATATAGATTTTGTGCTTGGGGTTTGAGTCTTGCTGTCTGAAAAAATGTAGGAAGTCTCCTTCATAGGATTTCCTATGTTCTGGTTCTCTGAGCTGGTCATTGGTCCTGGTGAATATGGCCCTTTACAGCACATCCTCCCTTCTCTGACCTTGCTCTGCTCCCTGTCTACACTCTCCTCTTTTAAGGGCCTGTATTCTTTACACTATGCCCCTTCCTCCTGTTGTGCAAGCATTATGTTTCTGGATGTCATTCATCAAACACTGTCCTGTTTACATTTCAGAACAGATAGGGCCCAACTGAGTAGGTTTCACATGAACACAGAGACAGAATCCAGTCACCAAACAAATGAAATCAGAAGGATGCATAATGTCCGGAAACAATATTTGTCCTAATGTAGTATCGTCACAGACTTTTATATCTTATTTACTCCTGTTGGTTTTCTTATGGATCTGGTTCTATATCTATACCATTTCTTTTTCCACTGTTGGATTATTTTTCTACACTGAAGATGGAGGCATCGTGTTCCTCCAAAATGTTGTTAACAATCTGCCACACAACATTGCCTCACATCACCCAGGACGGTGATCTTCAGACTTAATTTAGTTCCCATCGATTGGACCAAATGTTGCATCCTTATTATTGATAACATTAACACAGAGTGTGCTGTCAGCTTTCTAGTTCAGCGAAGGCAAATCATTGGCATGACTTAATAAAGAAATTTGTCTTGTAGTGAATTAAGAGACATGGCAAGCGACCCTACCATATGCACAGTAAATTGAGTACTTGTTCGTGAGAACTTTTAAGTCATTCAGTAGATATTCATGTTGGGATGTTTTCTAGACAATGCACTTGTTGTGCTGGTGTGTGAGATAATGGTAACACAGTGTGCCAGCAGAGCACAGTTCCCTGTGATTGCCACAGATATTACTAATGCTGCTGGTAGGTGGATAAGCCAGCAGTAATCTCTCTGTTGCCATTTTAATTCTATGAGAAACCAGGAATTTCTTGGTCATCTGAGCTACTCTCAGCTTCTCAAGACTGACTTTGCTGCGTGAAGTTAAATAGTTGCACTAAAAGTACACCTTTTGAGGTGTGACATGCTGTAATTTTTGTTAGTCTGAAATTACTTACTTTTTTCCATCGATGCTGGCCAGAGGGGGATCTGTCCCTAACCCCGAATTTATTTGAAAACAATCAAAATTTAAAGAAAAAAAACAAAGAAATGTACCAACTAGTGATTTCAGAAAATGAAATTATTTCTAAAATTACTCCCATTTGTAGGGTTCCAGGTCCTTGCCACAATAGTTATGAAGGCCCAACAGGTCAAAGTGATCCTTAAAAATGTTCTCAGTGGGCTTAAATGCAAATATGTAAACAAATTATCTTGCCATCCCATCTTGGCGAACATCCTGAAGACATATATGTGCAATGTCATTGTCTTTGAAAGGAGAATAATTTCCATTTGTGTTTTATCTTCACCTTTATTTGCAAGTAAGTGACCGGTGTCACATGGAAGAGAAGTGGGGATGGGGGGGGGTAGTTTCTCCTGTTCAAGTTTTGGCGAATGCTGTATAAAAGTTTCTTGATCCTTGCCCTGAAGATTGATGCAGGAAGTTTTTATGGCACTGTCAGAATTTGTTCACAGTATCACAAGTTGAAAAGTTCATACAACTTAACGAATAATGCTGTCAGAACTTGGCAGAAGTCCAAAAGTTTGACCGACAAAGTCTCAGAAAAAGCTTCTTAGGTTCATATTCTGACAGGAGTGTGTTTTGAGTGGCATGGAGTTTTTTCTTTTTGTGTATGTGTGTGTACATTCTAGATAAGTACAAAAAACTGAAATATTTGCCTCATCAGAAAATTTATGAAGCACATTTCTAACACGTCTTTCTCTCTCTCTCTCTTGTTCTCTCTTATTCCCTCTTTCTGCTTCTTGTTGCTGTCTCTTCCTTGCCTCTTCCTCAAAATCAGTTGGCAATACTGTGTGACCCTCAGACCCCTGCAGTGGCCCCTGTCTTCCTGCCTGACTTCCAAGAAACAGACCCTCTCCAGCAGCAGCTGCAGGTGTCTCCACAGCATCAGCAGCCTCAAACCTCTTCGCTGATTGAGAACCGCAGTACCGCAACAGCCTTCCTGCCAGGATCGCCACAGCGGCAACATTCCCTGTTGCAGCATCAGAACTCATCTCCTGGCATCTTTACTTTGAGCTTTCCATCCACAACAACAACATGCACCCCAGAACAACAGTTCCAGCAACAGCTGCTCCAAAGGCTTCAGTGCCTGAGTGGTAGCTACACAAACCAAGTGCGACCATCTCAACAGCAGCAGTTTTCTTTGGTGTCCCCAGCTGGTGTATATCAGCAGCCTGGGTTGGCAGGACTGTATGCACCACAGCAACAGACTCAGGTCTCTCCCACCCAGTTGAGTTACCGTGTGTCCCAAACCCCGTCCTACACCAGCTCACCAGTGCTGTCCCAACGCCCACGGCAGGCACCGCTTCAATCTGACACTCAAGCCACTGGTGAGGAAGAGCGTACACAGTTCATCCGGCCCTTATCGCACAGCGGTTCTGACAGCGGAGGTAGAGCTGAAGAGGCGCCAAGGCTAGAGCCACCACCACCTGGCCCCAATAAGCGCCAGCAGCAGAATCAAGATAGTGGATCAGCTGAGATCAGCAAAAAGGAACAGAACCAGTTAGCATCGGCTTTGTCATCAATGGTCTCTCTTAGGGTCTCTGGCAGTGAGGAAAGTGCAGCGAGTAGGCGGGGTGGGTTGGCCAATGGACCTCCGTTCATAACCCGGTCTACCAGCGAAAAGGTGCCAAACCGCAGTGAGCTCATGTCACACGTACAAAGGACGGCTTGGGCCAGGCACACAACAAAGTGACACTACAGTGCTGTCCAGCTCAGTGTTGACAAGAGTGAGGTCATTATACGGGTGTATTTCGTTACAGCTACGTCCTACAGAATCACTTAATCCAAGGAAGTGTGTGAGAAAGCCAGTGAATAAAGTTGCTTGCTCCTGTCAGCAGTCTTCATCGTCCCTCGGTTTGAGAACATGTAGTTGGAGCAAGTGTGTATTGTAGGGGCAGCCAGTTGATTCCAATTTATTTTCTTGTTTCTACAGATGTGTTGATAGTTTTTGTATTATATTTGTTATTTCATGAAATTTGATTTGAATGACACACTATTACTTATTGTCCATCAAGAACCACCACATTTGGAAGGTATAAAGAAATATGTAGTTGTTATTGTGGTCTCCAATGACATGATCTCAATTCTGAGTCCCATAAAATTAAGCAGTTTTATTCACACGTTATTCCAGTAGGACCCACACATAACCCTATAGTTTTGTTATCTGAAATTAACCTACAAATCTGAAGGTGTACAGTAGAAACATATCATTGAATGTAAATTCTTAACGGAACTTCGTCCAGATGTTTGCAGGGATCTGTGTTACAGCACACTGATAAAGCAATTACATTTTGAAATTATCTTGATGAGTTTTGTCCCTTTGACATCCTGAACCCACAGTTGTGCTCACTGGAATATTTAAAATAATGAACAAGAAAGAAAAGGAGTGTAAGTAGAGAATGAGATGTAGAAGTGAGGAAAGGTATAGAAGGAGGTGAAGAAAAGAGGAAATTAAGAACAAGATGGGGGAGGCTTAAAATGGAATGAAGGTGGGTGGCGAGAAGAATAAAAAAACAGGATGTAGAATGTGAGGAAGGAAAGTTGAAGAAGAGAGAATGGAGAAGAAATGAAAATAATTAGGGAGAAGATGACCGAGGAGGAGGGAGGGAATTGTAGGATGAAAGGAAGGAGAATGAATAGTACATGATGATGTAGAAAGTAGATCAGTAGGAGAAGAAAATGACGAAGAAGAGCATAAATAACAAAATTTTTTACTTCTCCTTGCTAAATGTTGGCTTCATCACAGTGACTTGAGCCTGAGAAGGCTACACATCCAAGAGAATTATGATGAATTACTGTCAGCCCCTTCACCTGTGTTACCAATCACTTGCTTATGTCCGACATTAATTTCACCATGAGCGCAAGTGACATGAACTTCGTCTGCGTTATAACCAGTCAGGACCGAGTAAAGTTTCAGTGCAGACGTGTAACTCTTTCTTAAGTGAATTAATGACTGCACACGGGTGTGGCGGCAGTAACAAGTCTGTTACTGTGCTGGTACAGCGAATTGCCTTATGAACTCAGTTGTCAGTGCGATGCTTCCAACACTGCACCTTGCTTGGAGAGCTAACTGTGCGAGCAGGGGATGAGATGGGATGATGGAGAATAGGAAGATGTGTGTGGAGAATAACAGGGGAGTATATGGAGATGAAGACATGGGAGGGACAGAGTGTGCTGGTGGAAGTAGCAGCTGGAGATGGAGACGTGGAAATGGAAATAAGTATTGCAGTAAGAGAAATGACAAACAAGAAAGCAAAATGGTGGAGGTGAAATGATGGTAAGATATAGGAGGACGGAGAACAAGAATACATGGGGGTAGGAGGATGGAGAACAAGAATACATGGGGGTGGGAGGATGGAGAACAAGAATAAATGGGGGTAGGAGGATGGAGGACAAGAATACATGCAGGTGGGAAGACAGAGAAGAAGAATGCAAGAAGGGTAGGAAGATGGAGCAGGAGGATGAGGTACAGAATGAGAATGTGTACAGATGGGGAACAAGATGTGAAGAGAGAACAGTGACGTAGAAGAAGACAAAATGAGGAGATGAAACAGTTGGCAGTACAGGATGAATTGTGCAAATGGAACATGGTTATTCTGTGTTTAAGCAAGTTGGAACGCAGTTGCTGTGGGGCTGCTACTGTAAAATGGAAAGTTTGCTGGTCCTTGGATGATGATTTTTAAAGACTGCTATATCAGCTGCCTGGCCAGATAAGAGTGCCCCAAAGAATGTTCCATGTCACGATTTGTTAAGGGCAGTAATCCTGTGTGTACATGGGTTTCTATTAAAATTATTATGCTGTAATAACAAGACCAGTGAAGGTTGACTGAGGCACTGCCCATTCAAATTTGATCATAAGTACATTTTCAGCTCTAACTCTGAATAAGCAGTCAGTGTACTGCGAAGTGGCACTGGATCATGGTTTTCTTCAGTTTTCCCCTGTTAATCATTATTCCTCCATTGCTCTATACTTGTCTAGCACTGTTCCCCAATGAGTGCGATAGCACTGGCCCAGCACTTGCCTGCTTACAGAATGAGGGCATTTTTTTCATTATGAAAGATTTGCCAGAACAGAAAGTTAAGTTTTAAGTTATAGGATGTCTGTTAGGAAAATGTTTTTTTAACTTAACCTAGTGTGTTTCCATGACAACATATCTGTTTTTTAAATTGTTCAGGGCGACTTTTATTGGGTGTTAATTGTGGTTTTGATTTGTACCCTTTCCTACCCATAGTTCATATAAAGGTAGTAGTGAAACTGTTTATTTTTAATGTATGAAACTTGCAGTTACTGTATAAGAGATTAATATTTTATAGACAGTCCCAACTATAGTGATCTGTAGATATCATGAATATTTACAGACTTCAGTCCAACATTTTTGTTGAGCACAGACTTGTAAACCATGACTGATTAGTCAGATAATTAAATAAAACTCGGGTAATTTTCAAATTTTAACTCCTTAAAATTTTGTCTGATTTGAAGTTCTCACAGAAGCGGCAAGGAGAAGCACTGTTTTCTGCTTTGTGATGCCATGCAATCCGGGCTAAGTTCAGTGACTTTCTGTAGAAACACCCTGTGTACTTCTTCAGGGTAGGCCAAGTAAGTAACCAGCAAGTAGCAGGAGACAGAATGTTAATTACTCTGAAACACTGATGAACTACTGGACTGCATGCCACCACATCTCACGAGACAGAATTATTCTTTACATTTTTTTTCTTCAGGCATATTACTTTGGTTCAATCTGTACGCAGTTCACATACAGATGGGGTTGAGGACAATGCAACACTGTAGTGGATAACATTGTTTTCTGACTTGGAGGATGTCCTTGGTAACTTACTAATAAGGCTGTTACACAGGCAGCAGACCCTTGGTTCTGTTCCAGACCATGACAAATTGTTTCACTCGGAAGAAATGACCTTAACCTAATATTCATAAATAGTGGATACAAACTGACATCTGCCCCAAGTAAGCTTGTGTTTATGTAGCATTCCAAAGAGAAAAACATGAAAAGAAAGGCTAAAAAAGAATCAGTTTGTTTAGAATGTATTCAGGAAGCCTGTGTATTACGATCGGTTTATGCTGATGTATGGCCTTGCAGTTTGTACTCGAGTCTAAGACTTTGTTTACCTTGAGCATTTACAGCGTGTCTCAATGTACAGATCAGGCATATGTCCGCGTGGAAACAGCTCCAAATGGTTGCCACGAGAGGCCACAAACACTCATGGAACAGAGACTTTATATCCTCAGTAGGTCCTGATAATGTGTTGCAATAAACATGACTTATCTTGGACATTGTTCATCCTCTTCAGTTTTTCGAAACGCAGGATTTCAGAAACCCAATATATTTGAGTCCTCAGATGTAGAGGACAGAGGCACCTCATTTGGGCCCATACAAAGAGTGGGTCTTGATCAGTGGCAAATGCAATGTGTGACAAATTTCAACATGGTGGGAGATATCCAAATTTAATAGTCAAGTTCACTGTCACACACTGTCATCAGAAACAGTTATAACTTGCTCAGATTACTGGTATGGACTGGCCCAGTGATTGAGGCAGGATCTTTGTAATGAGTTCACCTGAGTAGGAACTTCTCCCTTACACCCAGGGCCAGATTTATAGTTGTGGGGCCCCAGAGCAGTCAAAATATGGAGGCTCCTATCATTAAAAGTAAATTTAGGATATGACATTCTTCTTTGTTGTTATTTCTTATAACAACTAAAAATATAAAGTAATTTTAATGATTCTAGAGAAGCAAATGTTTCAGTAAAATGTATGGATTCTGTTTCTGTTTTGTGAAGGCCCCAGTTCAGCTGTCCCAGTCACTCTCCCCCCCTTAAATCCGTCCGTGCTTACGCCCGATGATTGAAACAGATCCGGTCTCTAATACATTATATCTGAAAATCCTCTACATGATGGACAAAGTTTACTGTTATCCAGGCATAAGGCATAATTAAATGTTATAATTAATGATAAAGATATGTTGATATTGTCTTTGGAGGTTTCCTTATGTTCACAGCCAGTTTGAATCGGGTGTTTTTTAATCGTCCTATTTCTGTAGCCTCAAGAGATAAACAATAATTTTAAACCATATAAAAATGACATGCTACTGGTTATGTAATTGTTTATATTTGAATAGGTTAAATCGTGTTAATGTAAGTGTTAAGTTAGTGATGGTCTTACAGAAGCCATCGTTACGGCCATATGTTTCATGTGGTCAGCGTAATAAGAAATCATCTGATAAACCATGCAGATTTAAACAATAAATGTTTGATTCTGTTGCCCCTATTTTGGCTACTCAGCTGTCCCCGGGGGTGTGTGTAGGTTTTAAAAGTCATGCAGTGTTTTAAAGATTATTGTCTATCACCCCATTAATTTCGAGAAGTATTAAAATTGTTTACGGTTCATGCCTAAAACACTAAAATGCAATAATTTATGACCCTAGACTGTTTCCATACTTTCATTCAAGAGTTATGAACTACATCAACACCTTGCATAGTCTGGCTTCGATCAGTCCGGATTCACTATAGTCCGGTTTGAAAACTTCAAAACAAACTAAATTTTAATTGAGCAAAATAAAAGTAAATTCTAAAAAATTATTACACAAAATTATTTTTAATACATAAATGATCGTCTTTTTCCCTTTATACAGTCAAGTCTCTTTTTGTGCAGTTTATTTTTTTGTGGTTTTAAAGACATGCGATACGATACATATTTCAGTGTTTTCTGGGGTTCCCCGCTATGCTCGGTCCGTTCGTTCTTGAGCTCTGACAGGTAACGCTGGAGGAGGTGGGGAAAGCACTGCTTTAACGGAACTTTGGAAGAGCTACATCAGAAACGTTACCGAAAATACAGGCGAAGCCTGGCATGAATTAACGGCAAGCAATATGAGGGCAGTATGGAAACATTTCATACCGCATTGTGCAAATGATTTCTTGGTTTTGAAACTCATTTTGCTGAAGTCACTAATAACAGTGGAAACTGGACAGCAACTTGGCTTCAATGAGTTAGGTTCCGTCCACGTAATTGAGTGCATAAAAGCGAACACTAATGAACTAGATAATGAGACACTTATTGACATAGATGAACAACGGGAGGACAACTTAGACAACGACGAGTGTGTTGAAGTGCCTGCATGAGAATTAACAGCTGAACAACTATCAGAAATTATTGGAATGGTTCAAACCTTGTCAGAGCATATCATGGAAGGTGATCCCAATTCTGAACGTAGCCTTACAATTCGTCGAACGATAAACAGTGCAATTCCTTACTACAGAGAAATGTATGAAGAGAAAAGGCCAAAGAAGAAGAATGTGCAGACATCAATATTGCAATTTTTAGATGATAAAAATGAATTTCTTAAAATTATTTTTAATAAAGACATTTGAATTTATTAATCGCGTTTTAGTCACTGAAAAACGGGGATTTTTTTTTTGAACTAATTACCATTTCTGTATGTATTTAGTTCCTCGATGAGTCCGGTTTCAAGGAGTCCGGGAGATTGGCGGAACCGACTGCCCGGACTATGCGAGCTATTGCTGTACTGTATTTCATATTAATACAGTTTAACATTTTTAAAATTAGTGGTGTAATAGACATTGAACTGTAAAATTTTATGCGCTTGTAGATGTGACGGACGTGGCATAATGAGGAGCTTAATAAAGTGTACTCCTCACCAGATATTAGAATCATCAAACGAAGGTGAATAAGATGGGCAGAGCGTGTTGCACGCGTGTGGAGTTGCAGTATGAAAGCACTAGGCAAACCTAGATATAAATATGAGGATAATATTAGTACGGATCTCACAGAAATAGAATGGGAGGGTGCAGACTGGGCTCATTTGCCCTGAGGACACGGACCAGTAGAGGACTCCCATGAACACGGTAGTGAACATTCGGTTTCCAGAAGATGTTAGGAAATGTTGGTCACCTGATCCTGTACTGGCTCCTCCAGAAGGATTCGGCGCCATGGAGGGACTGTAATTAGTTAAATTTGGTGCACACAAAACATGAATCAAATTTGCATATTTTGTCAGATGATTTTTTGGGGGTAAATTTAGTAATTGAATATAACTTATGGATTTATCTGGCTCAGGATAGGGGACCACTGAAGGACCCTTCTGAACACAGTAATGGACCTTCAGGTTCCATAAGAGCAAAGAATTGCCTGGAACGCTGAGCTGAGCGACTGTTAGATTCTCGAGAACACTGTTCCATAGTTACTTTTGACTTGTTAATGAAAATTACCGGAGTTTTCTTGCCCATTACGTTACAGCCCAGGGACAGACATTGCCTTACATTTAGTGGGTCTGTATGTATATGTAACTTAATTAAGTTTTATATTTGCGATGTTTATATACTGTTTGAGATGATGTCCCATGTTGCATGAAGAGTAGACACAGTCACCTAAGACTCCCTTCATATCCCACGTTCAGTGTTATAGCGTATTTATGAAGTAACAGAGTGTAACCTGGCTGTAATGCGCCCCCCACTACACTATTTATTTACTTGCGATGAAAAGATTGTTGAGCAGAAGTTTTACATTTGTGGCCAATTGTAAAGGAAGTCAGAAAAGTGTTTACAATTTTCTGGGCCTGTCACTTGGCGATTGTGCTGTGTACCTTCATTGTCTTGCAGCTTCTTTTGTTAGGAGCACGGGTTTTCTTCACCAGGAAACGTCACTTTTTTGTCCCTTTGAACATATTTTTAATATATCCCGCAAGATTCTAGCGAGATTGTGTTCTCGCGTCGGTGGATATGAACATCGCTATCTTTTGATATGTGACAGCTGAAATCATTACACATGTTTCGGAAGAACGTCCTGCTTCCGTCTTCAGTGTAGAAGAGTATGCCGGAATGTTTCACACTGTAGCCCTCCCGTGCATCTGGTTATTCTGGCTGTACCCCGTTTCTTGCTGTCTTCTCACCGTTTTCATGTTCCGTCACAAGCTTACATGCCCCTCATTCGCCCCCCCTCCCAGATTTTGCCCCCAAAGCCCCATTTCTGAGGTCACTGTTTCCTCAGTCTTGTGAACTTTACCCCTCTTTGTATTTTACCTGCGTTTGTTTTGCTTTGGCTTTATCCCCTTCTACGTCATACACGTACATTTCTAGCGTCTTTCCTCTGGACGTCTGCCAGCTTAACCCTGTGATGTGATTACCGGACGGGTAACGCTTGTGTTCGGAAGTCGTGCAGTTTGAGCACAGCTTTTCACATGTCGGAAGATTACACCTTAAAGACATTTTGTATGGCAACGCTCCGTGGTT